GCCTGTTACTGTTAATGTAACAATTAAATTTGTATTAACTCTTATGGTTTATAAATAATAAATTTTAATTAATTTTAATTTGCTTTTTAATTCTTATAAGTACAGGATAATCTTCTTTCTTCATAATAAAATAATAGACACAGGACCTGTGAAGAACTTTGCACTCGGCACTCTTATCTTTCACTCTGATGATGTATGCAATGATACTATAAAAAGATAAAACCTAATAAAAAGGTTGGCTACCGCGATGATATCGTCAAAGGTCAATATACGTTTTTCCGCCTGCTCTAGAAACATACTATACATAAATACAACGTTCTACAAAAATATTGGTCTTTGCTCCACCTAAAAAAAAGACCGTGGTGCCATATGCCTATTTCTTATACATAAGCCACAATAAGGTATTTTGTGACAAAAAATTATTGAAAATTAAAAAGTGATTTATGAGCGTTATTATTAGGCATGGCATATTAATCCTTACGAACGAAAGTTACTTCATCATCAAGACAATTTTATGAAGATAAACTTTGCTCTAAAGAGCAAAGTTTATGAAGATATAACACACTATAAATAATATGTTATTTGGACGAATAGTTTAAGGGATAATTAAAAATTAATATAATAAACGCTCTGCTCGGAGCGCGAACGTTCGCATAAACCCTAGCCGCCCGATAAGATCCGTAAGAAACCAGCAGTGAACGCCTATATAAGCGAGCTGTCATTTCGCGCTGCTTAGACACAGCGGTGACACTCTGTACGTGAGAGTTCAAGCGCCAGTGACATTGAGCCGGAGCGTGTAACGCTAGGGTTGATACCGAACCGAAATGGAATATTATAGACAAAACTGAAGCACCAGGTTTGTGCTGCAGCAATGGTAAAGTGAATATCCCTAAAATTCCGGAACCGACACCAGTTCTGAAAGATTTATTATTAGGTACACATCCAGGCTCAAAATATTTTTTGAGTCAAACAAGACACTACGAAACTCTATTTCAAATGACGTCATTCGGTGCAAAAGAAATTCGTGAGGGCAATTTTATGCCTACCTTCAAAATACATGGACAGGTTTACCACTTGATAGGTAATTTACTTTCTGCTCAAGGTGCGCAGCCTGAGTTTTAGCAAATATATTTTGTTTCCCAAGCCGATCAGTAATCTTTGCGCACAAATATAAATCGCAATTTGCGAACTGTATCTCATTGGTCCTTTGCAAAAAGAGCTTCTTGATTATAATAGGTACATTCAAAGTTTCAAATATAATCTTGAAAACAGACCATCAAACGATTTAAAACGAATTATCCACGCTGATCTAAAACCTCCCAACGAACATGGTGGTCGCTACAATGCGCCAACTGTAGACGAAGTTGCTGTTCTTTTAGTAGATGAGGATAAAGGTCCAAGAGATATTGTGATAAATACTAGAGACGTTCATTTACAAAGAGTTTCTGAGTTGCACAGGTCATATGACCCCCTGCAGTATCCTTTACTCTTCCCAAAAGGAGATGATGGGTACTGCATCAACATTCAACAACAAAACGATGTTGCACGATCTAAGACAGTATCATGTATGCAATTTTATGCATTCAGGATTATGGTGAGAACAAATGATATGAACAGTTTATATTATTTCAGAGGATTGTTGAATCAATATTGTGTTGATATTGCGGCAAAAATGATATCTGAAAGACTTGACTTTATCAAAAGAAATAAAAAAAATTGAGGGCTGATTTACAGGATCCGCGATATATGAATGAAAAGAGCCAAGACGCAAAGACATATGTTAGGAACTTTGGGAAACCGGATCTTTTTATCACATTCACCTGCAATCCAAAATGGAAAGAAAAAAAAATCGAGTTATTTCCAAATCAAAAACCACAAGATAGACAGGATTTGGTTTCAAGAGTTTTTCATTTACAACTCAAGAAAATGATGGACTTATTAACAAAAAAATCATTGTGATGAAAACATGATTCACGGCTCTTGTGGTCCAAATAACTCGACGTCACTCTGCATGAAAGAAAGCATTTGATTTTTGATGACAAATTGATTTCTGAGACACAAACTGGTGATGATGGTTATCCAACCTATAGACGTAGAGCATCAAATTGCGGAGGAAATACAGATGTCCTAAATGTGAGAGGAACTGAAATGAATATAGACAATAGATGGGTTGTTCCATATAATCCAGTTCTACTATGAATTTTCAACGCACATATTAACGTTGAATTTTGCCAGTCAGTCGAAGCAATAAAATATATTTGCAAGTACATCCATAAAGGTTCTGATCAAGCTACATTCACTATGCAAAATAACAACGATGTAGTCGAAAAATATCTCAATGGTCGCTATATTAGCACTTCTGAAGCAGTTTGGAGAATATTTCAGTTTCCGATCCATAAGCGCTACCCAGCAGTCATCCATTTAGCAGTCCATTTACAAAATGGACAAAGAATATATTTCAATGATTACAACCTTCAAGAACGCGTTAATAATCCACCTGTATCGACGCTATTGGCTTTTTGAACTCTGCAGAAATGACGATTTTGCGAAAACTTTGCTTTACCATGAAGTGCTCCAATATTACACATGGGAAAGAAATAAATTTTCTAGAAAGAAACGTGGGCGGGATTTTAATGAATATTCTGGTATAAAATAAGACGTAGCTTAAGGTCGTGTTTATAATATTCATCCAATCCAAACAGAATGTTTTTATTTAAGAATGCTATTAATGAATGTACGCGGACCAACTTCTTTTGAAAATCTTCGAACTGTAAATAACATTACGTTAGCCACGTATTAAGGTGCTCGCAAAGAACTAGGATTACTAGAAGGAGATGAACATTGGTAAAATACACTTTCAGACGGGGCTATTTCTGAGTCGGCAGCCAAATTGAGAGAATTATTTGCCATCATATTAATATTTTGCCACCCATCAGAACCAATAGAATTATGGAGAAAAAATTGTGATAACTTAGGTGAAGACATATTAAATAGAGTTCAAAATGAAAATCAGGACCTGTTAATGAAATGAAATATACAATGAAGGTCTTAAATTTATTGAAAACAAATCTCATAAAATGTCTGAAAAATGTCTTACAGATTTCAGACTTTCGGCTCCAATTCGCAATAATTCTCATAATACGGAGTCTCTAGAAGACGTTTTGCGGAGACCATACGATGTTAACGAATTAAATAAATATATTTCCGAAAATGAACCTTAGTTGGTGCATGATCAAGTAAACGCTTATAGTTCTCTTTTAAAAAGCGTTTTTTTCTAACGAAGGCAAAAAATTTTTTTGGATGCTCCAGGTGGAACTGGCAAGACTTTTGTGACCAATTTAATATTAGCGAAAGTTAGGTCACAGGGAAAAATTGCTATTGCCGTTACATCGTCAGGTATTGCTACTACACTGTTGACAGGCGAGAGAACGGCTCATTTTACCTTTAGAATGCCCCTTACTGTGTCATTTGAATGAGACAGTGTGTGTTCAATCCGTAAAAATGGCACGTTGGGTAAAATCTTGCAAGATGCCAGGCTAATAATATGGGATGAGTGCACCATGACTCATAGAGCTCACGTAGAGGCATTAGACAGAACTCTCAGAGACATAAGGAGCACAAATAAAGTTATGGATGGAATTACTTTTATGTTTTCTGATGATTTCAGACAAACTTTGCCTGTAATAGTTAGGGGAACTAGAGCAGAAATTATTAAATCTTGCTTAAAATCTTCCCCTTTGTGGAAATTTGTTGACATCTTGAAGCTGTATACCAACATGAGGAGTCACTTGGGTGGAGGAAACACAGATTTGCCAAAAAACTATTAGTGATTAGTAATGGGAAAGTACCTGAGTCAACCGAAAAGAAAATAGCCATTGATAAAGACCTTGGTGAAATCGTAACCATCACTGAAGACCTAATCTCTAGAGTAAACCCGGATGTCGCCAATATAAATCAGAAAAATTATCAATGGATGTGTGAAAGGGCAATTTTAGCTGCCAAAAATACAAGCGTTGACGCCATCAACGATAAAATAATGGCCAAATTACCAGGCGACAACATAAACTACCTTGCCATTGATACTGTCATGGATCAAGAAGACGCGGTACATTACCCTCAAGAATTTTTAAATTCTTTGAATCCTTGTGGGCTGCCCCCAAATTCATTGAACTTAAAAAGTGGCACTCCCATTATTCTATTACGAAACCTGCGGCCACCAAGTCTATGTAACGAAACTAGGCTTCAAGTTAAACTTCCTAGAAATAATATTATAGTTGCTATAGTTTTGACTGGGCCAGCAGTTGGGCAAACGGTACAGATACCTCGAATTCTATGATACCTACAGATTTACCATTTAGTTTTAAAAGAATACAATTTCCCATAAAAGTATCGTTTGCAGTCACTATAAATAAAGCACAGGGACAGACTTTCAAGCACGTGGGGATACATTTAAGGGAATGCTGTTTTCCCCATGGGCAGTTATATGTCGGCTTATCTAAAACAGGATGCGGTGAAAAGCACTATATTTTAATACCAAATGAAAAGGTTACTAAAAATATTGCACTATAAATCAATTAATAAATAAGTAATTCCTTAAATAATACGCGGGTGAAACCGCGGGGCACAGCTAGTGCTTAAATATAACTTGTCCAGTAAAGTCTATGCTTACTGTAAATTTAAAAAAAATCAACTGACTGGTGTTTCATTTAATTTTCCCAATACGTCAAATTAAACGCGATAAAATCCGTAAAATTTATTTTATTCAATTTCCTATCTTTTTTTCAATATTTCAAAATAATAGTAGATACTTCTGTCTTTTTTGTTATAATTTTAGATTTTAGATTATACCAAAAAAGGTAAGGTATATTTTAATATTGACAACACATTCTTTTAGTATAAAAGTGTTTCTATATAGTTTGTGGTATAAAACCCTACACATAAAACGGTCACACTTGCTATTTTTATTGCATGTCGTCATTTGAGTTTGACAGACCCTCCCATTTCCGACGGGTTGTATTGTATCCAATGACCAAAGAATTGTATTTCTTTATTTAAAAAAGTAAAAAAACAAAATTATTCTGTAGGTTATATTCAGTTGTAATAGTATTGCCTGTGGTTGATGTAATTGAAAATTTTACAAGGTCTTACGATAGTACGATAGTGCGATAATAGTCTACGATAGTAAAATAAAACAGCATTACGTCACTAAAAATATTTTTTTTGAATAAAGCAAAGAGTATTTTAATGTAACAGATTTAGTAAAATCTTACCGATGAAAATTGCGGTAGTACTTGTGATGCACATCTTACTTGATTTAGAACTTTAAAGTTTTTTATATAAGTTACAAATAGTGTTAGTGAATTTATCATTACGCAAAATAAATTTTGTAGGACAAGCGTAAAGTGTACAATCGTCGTTCGGCAATATTACGTTGTTTATTGATTAATTACAAATAGTACATATTATATAATCACTACGTTTTAATTATTTGATTACAAATGTGTGATATATAATTCTCGATAAATTACTTTTATTGTGTTATATGCTGATAAGTGATAATCCTTTTTTATTAAGATTTTGGCTTGGATGTTTGTCTTTTAAGCTATGTCTTAATTTATCTCAATACCAAGTGATTATAATTCTTTATAGTACAATACACTGCTTCAAAATATATTGATGCGTCACATTGCGCAGTTTTCGGGAAATTTCGACGGCAACTTGAGCCAGCAGACAGTTGGCAATATAATACCAGTGCGCCTAAGCAGACCGACACATTATCTTGAGATTCACATCACCATCGGAGCATTTGTTTCACCGTTTCCACTAATAGTTCACATGCACAGATACTTTATACGCAAAATTGAACTACTTTTACATATAAAAATCCACTTCAAACCATGATTTTATACAATAATACAAGAACAGCAATCCACCGCCGGTCAAGTTCCCGCCAAAATCTCAGATAATACCACAAAGTAATAAGATGACACGTTATAAGTGATGGAATAAAATAAATAATTAAAAAAAATCAAAAAACCGACTGCAAAAAAGACAATTTAAAAGTAATGCACTAAAACTTTGAAATAAAGTATTAACAAAGTAAACTCTACTTCGGTTTAACAGAAGTTTAGTAGCAATCGGAACCCATTAATATTCTTTCGGTTTATAATTTGCAATTGGGTCCCGCCTGCTGCTAAGCTTAATTTGGGTATTTAACTATTTGTAGATTTAGAGATAATAAATTATTTTGACATGATAAAAAACCTATAAAAACAACCAATTAAAAAAGTCATACTTACTTAACCGTTTCCTAAGAAGTCACAAAACGGTAGTTTCGTAAGTGTAATTGTACAAAAATAAACTTTTTTTAACAATCAATAACTTGTCAATTGTTAAAAATCTAAATTACTTATATTCAAATGTCTTATAGTAGGTAATTAAGTGTAAAAAAAGTATCGATAAACGATAATTGCACCTTGTGCCCGCCCTATTTATTACTTTTGTTATTTTTGCCAGTTTGGAATTTGGAAGTTTCGCTTTCAGTTCACTGCGAATTTTCCGGGATAATGTGTGTGCGTTTTGCTGCTTGCGCCCATTGCTTCAAGTGATTTATTTTTCGTAAGATAAATACAATTAGACAAACAATTTTTTTTTTTTTACGGTGAAATAGACACTTATTAGCTAATTGGCTTTGTGTGTGTAAGTAGTGTTTTTAAGTACGTTTGTTTTAATTATTTTTTCACTTTGATATTGACACTATTTGACTTTTGTGTGTACGCGTGTATTGGCGCAAAATGCATTTTTACAGTGCAGCAGAGTATACAGACATGGTTTTATTGTATGGCGAATACTGCCAAAATTCAGCGTTAACTCCGCGTACTTATCGTGAGAGATGTGGCGCAACTCGCGTCTGCCCTATTAGCCTCCGGACAATCAAAGGTGCTGTCCAAAGAATCAGGGAAAATCAGCGCATAGTGCCCAACACTGATGAAGGAGTTGCTCCACGTCACCATCCACCCTCGTTCGAACAACGAGTCCTAGACCATTTCGATCGGAATCCAATCTGCAGCCTAGACAACCTAAACAGTTTAGTGAGTAAGTTTTTATTTTGTTGTACATTGTCAAACGAATCAAAGGCCGTGCCGACAATAACGCTGCCGGCCGCTAACCGCCATGCAGCCCGCGTGCAACGTTGCCACTCTTCCAAGGGGTCAAGGTACGTAGTCTAAACAGAGTGTTTACTTTTATTGAATTTATTTTAATATTTATTTTGTTTGAAAATTTCGCTTTTTAATTTACGATTTTTAATTTAATTTCACTACACTTCTAAAGGACTAGTATTACTTGTGGTTTCATTTATTGCGTATATGTGTATTCCTTACTGTATACTTGAGCAACTCTGGTTTGATCTCTACATTCACCACGGAAATGAGTGAATGAATGTTAATTCCAATTTTATGTCCTTTGTATTTATCATGCATTCGGAAACATTGTGAGGAAATCTGCGTGTCTAAGGAATACAAATATTTTAAAGATTGTTTAATTTCTCAGAGGAAATTGAACAATATGAAACAATTGTTTATTTTCCTCTGAGAAATGAAATACAAGTATGTGCCTAGCAGTAAAACATGTACAAGCTACAATATATAATAAGCTGTGTTACATTTAACTTATTTTTATATTTTTTACTTTACAGGTGAAGAATTGTGTCCCGGTTTTAAATAAAACTATGGCAGCAGCTTTATTATAGACTTCTGAATTCAGTAAGTTTTATTTGAAGTAATATTTTAATATACACTAAAGTTTTACAAGTACTTCTATCCTCCTAACCATTGGTATCGAAACATTATATGTAATATCTTAGGTGTCAATGACAATTATGTACAAAATTATTGAAAATTTTTCTATAAGTGTGAAAGCTCTTTAGATTTATGTGAAAGTAAGTTTGTCTGATTACTATGAGTTCATAGCCAAAGAAAAAAAAACAATAAATTGTGACCAATATTTTGACATTATCTATAGGATGTAAACATTGTCCTGGCAATAAGAGGGCTTCCTTTTAAATAAAATTAGCACTCATATAAAAAGTTTATTACTTTTATTTTATACATTTAAATATTATTTTTTCCAGCTAACTGCCGTGATGGCAGACAACTTAGCGAAATGATTTATTTGATAGTGTAAATGGCGATACTCTTTACTACAAGAAATGTGGTGGAAAACCTTTATAAGGAAGGCTGTTATTGAAAATTCAGTGCATCACAACTTATGGAAGGAAGAAAAAAAATTTGAAAAAATCAAGTTTATTGACAAGGGCAAAGCGAAGTCCGTGCCTACACTAAAAAAATTGTCTAACAACAATTAAAAATTACGAAAGGGTATCGCAAGTGTTACACAAAAAAAAATTTAAAAATCATGCGGCCTTGATATTTCAATTCGGATCCCATTGAAAACATTTTTAGGCAAGTGAGGTCGTATAATTTTCGTAACAATTGTCCAACCTGCCACATTTTCATCTCTACTTTTAAATCTTTATTAATAACAGTCATCATTAAATTTCATTCAGTAACCTATAATTGCAAAGATGATACTTCCTATTAGTTGATAAAAGTGCAGTCTTTATTTAGAAAGCGATCTGAAGAAATAAAAAGTAATACATCAAATATCAAACAGGATATTGTATCTATTGAAGAGAACCTTTCCACTGCAAATATTCAACTGCAGGCAGCAAGAGAGCGATTAAAAATTTCAACAGCATATACCACTGGAAGGGTTAAGCAAGGATGTGAGACCAGTTTATGTACTAAAATAGATGGTGATGTACATAAATAGAGCACATAAATAGAACATAAAGCAATTAAGTGAAGAAAGCTGACCTATCCCTCGGAATATTCTAGGAGGCATTTTAGTTCTATAATAAAATAAACAAATAGATGCTTGGAATCATCTTGTAATTATTGTAATAAAGCTCATATACGTTTTTAGAACACTTCGTCAAATTGCTGACTTCAAAATTATACGCAGCGTCTATTTTGCTCTTTGTCAATCTATATTCTCATATTGTATTTCTGTATGGGGAGGTGCAGCTAAATCCTATTTAAGATCTCTGGAAGTGGCCCAAAGAGCCATCTTAAAGGTTGCAAAGTTTCACCATTTCCTTTATCCGACTAGGGACTTATATAAGGAATGGAATGTACTAACAGTTCGTCAACTCTTTATACTGTGCATTGTCTTAAAACAACATTCTAAAACTTCGTACGACCCTTCGACACAACGCTTAAGGAGAAAAGATATTGTCTGTGTCCACCAAAGATTTAGAACAGCATTTGCAAAGAGGTTTTTTTGTTTTATTGGTCCGTTACTATATAATAAGTTAAACCGTATACTAGCTACGCTATAATATACTCTTTAACAAGAGCAAATTATAAATATACTTTAAAAACATGGTTACTGACGAAAGACTATGATGAAAGTGAGGCACTTATCAAAACAATGTGATCCACTTGAACATGCTCTCACACCCACACCATCGTGTACACACACACACACACACACACACACACACACACACACACACATACACACACATTTTTGCTTATTTATTTCTTTTTAAATATATTATATTTCCTTTTAAATACATTCTTCATCAGAATATACATTACACGTGAGTTATAGTCCGGTGGCGGAGGCCTGGTGGCTGTAGCACAGGGAATCCTAGTATCGTCAACAGTCTCTACAACTAGCATTTGTAAGTTACTTAATATTTAAATGTAATGATATTTTGTAAATGTTATTTTGTGGAGAGAAATAAAGTTTATTATTATTATTATTATTGTGCACACCACGAAAATGTAACGCAAGAAATTAAAAAAGTATAAAAACTAAGTATCTATTTGAATTCATTAATTGTAAGAGCACAAAGACTTAAATATTTTCTAATGCTTTCTATTAAACTGTGTATTTTCAACTTGTGCAACATAGTTAATAGGATTCTAAAAGGCACGGACATCGTTAGAATCGAAAAGCGTACATTACTACCAATACAAAGAAAAGCATTAAACAAGTATATAATATACACAATGCATTTTATTTCTACTAATTCTCCTTCATCATAAAGTAATAATTTTTTTTAATTAAATGGCAAGGGTACTATATTAATTTTGGCTGAAATAAAATTATTCCTTTGCCTATATCCAATTTATATTTACAAAAAAAGAAATGTCTCGTTCCAATTTGCTGCAATTTGCTGTACTTTAGGTTCAAACAAAATGTACCATAGGAGTTTTAGGGGGAACTTAACCGGCGGCGGATTGCTGCTCCTGTATTATTGTTTAAATAATGGTTTGATATGTAAAAATGGCGCGATTTTGTGGTTTGCGGGTGTGAATTACTAGTGGAAACGGTGACACAAGTGCTCCGATGGTGATGTCAATCTCAATATTAGGTGTCTACCTACTTAGGCGCCTTGATATATTATCGCCAATTATTGTCTGCTGGGTCAAGTTGCCGTCAAAATCTAAAAACTACGCAATGTGACGCATCTACATATTGTGAAGCAGTGAACTAAGGATTATTATCACTTGATGAATGATGATGATGATGAAAGTATAAGGTTCTCAGTGAATAGTGGAAGAAAAGACAAAATAAGGACTTCAAAATGATTTCAATTACTCACTAAACATTTGGCTTAGCTTTCCATTGACGTCAGTGGAGTTTGGTGTTGATACGTATTTTTACAGAAAGATTACACTATTATAAGCACACACACAAAGTCTCAATATACGGAAACGCGTAATTTTTGAGAAAAGAATAATTGAAAATCAATTATTCTTGCAATGTTTATGTCTAATCTGCTAATAAACTGGCGCCATTTTGTAATGTCATTGTCGACGTCAATAGGGATGTCGATTCTTTCCGAAAAAGGTCGAATTTTAAATCGATTCAAATCGTAAGCTGATGTATCGGTTCACAAAAAATCGTATTTCTAAAATATCTATATTTTTTTAATGTTTCTATTTATAATGTAAATATAAACCCATTTTATGAAAAACAAGAAAGATACCATGATAAATGATCTCTTATTGAAATTTGTTTTATTTAACAGTACCTATTAGGGCAGATAACAAATAAAATAGGTTAGGTTCAACTTATGTCAAAGAACCGAATTGATTGACCCCGACTCCACCTGGTACGAGTCTGTCCTACCCCTAGAGTGGTTTTATAGAGCCGGAGGCGCGTAGGGGGAGCAGCCTCCGCCTGCTTTAACAAATCGTAGGCATTGGACGAGCCGGAGCGGCTGAGGCTGGTCGCCGAAGGCGACCAACAAGCCAAAGCTGCGGAGGCGAGGAGGGATGCCTGCGATTTGTTACGCTAAGGCGTAGAGGTTGCTCTTCCCGCAGCGCCGGAGACGTAGCAGTCTCAAAATAGATACAGAAATCCTTATGAATCAGTCCCCTTATTTTTTATGATGAAGGGGATTTTTTTCTCATAAAATGGATTTATATTTACATTATAAATGCAAACATGAAAAAAATATCGATATTTTAGAAATCGATTTTTTGGGAATCGATACATCAGCTTACAATTCGAATCTATTTAAAAAATCAATCTTTTTCGGAAAGAATCGACATCCTTATTGACGTCGACAATGACATTATATATATAAAATGGCGCCAGTTTATTAGCAGATTAGACATAAACATTGCAAGAATAATTGTATTTCAATTATTCTTTTCTCAAAAATTACGCGTTTCCGTATATTGAGACTTTGTGTGTGTGTTTATAATAGTGTAATCTTTCTGTAAAAATACGTATCAACACCAAACTCCACTGACGTCAATGGAAAGTCGTACCAAACATTTTGACACAATATTGAGGATATAATTTAGACTAGACATACGGCTTTATTGTTTTAAGCTTTTTATAATAAAACGAGCCTTTGAATTTACACAGGTCCTATCTGTTGTTTATTAATTAAAAACGTAAGCAAGTCAATAACAAATTCAACAAAGTTTTATGTTAAGATAGAACCTTGTGAAATATGTAGTTAAGGCAGTATTGTAATGAAAAATTTGGGTGAATCAAATACAATATAAGAATACACTGACACTTAAATGTATTGTAAAAACGAAGGTATTAATAGAATAAATATTAAAGACAATATAATTATGTATGTTATATAATTCTTAATAGAGCTTCAAAGTCAAAGTTACGTAAGATCAATTCGTAATCGTAATCAAATTCGCAAGTATTTTCTAGTCAGCGAAAAAAAAAATTTCTCAATATTTGCAGATAGAACCGAAGACCATCAGATCCAAGTCAAAATCGTTATTCAAAAATTTATCAAAATGTACCATAGACGTCCGTCTACCGCATAGATGTCATAAACGGATATAGTATAGTCTCACCCAAAGAGAATATAATCGCTACGTTTAATCTGTCAAGCCTTTGAAGTACACATGAGGCAATCCAAGGTCAACTTTGTAGAACGCTCCAAAGAGTATGGTAATATTTAGAAAGGACCCCTCAGAACCAAAGAGTATATGATCACTACACTACGTTTAGTCAGAACCATAGTTATTGTGCTCATAACAATTATTTTTTAAATGTTATTTAGATGAACTATAAAACTAAAATTTTATTAGAATTAGTTTCGTTATTAAATTACGCTTCTTTAAATTAACAGAATTTACTTCAAATGACGAGTTTCCGCCTCGCGTCGCGTTTACGTCACATACTTTAGTCTTATATCCTTCGCCGCGTGAGTGTAAGAGGCAACTAGAAATTTTACAAAAAATTAAGTGGGTACAATAGAAAGTTTTTTGTTAGTTTTTATACAAATGGTAAGTAATTACACTGTTTTAAAATTTAATTCCTTATATATTGCTTCGTAACAATTTCATATATTTTATAAAATTGCCATTTCAAATACTGTGTCGTTCACGTATCACTATGTTTAATAGCCAGAATTAACTGAAAAGTAAATAAAAAGTGTGAGTTATCACAATAAATCATGTAATAAACACAAATTTTCATATCCCACAAAGTCCAATGCGCGAAAATTACGTTTTATGTTATAATTTCGATATATAGTGAACATTATGGCGAAGTTGTTTTCAACAATAACTAAAAATAAAAATGTGAATGTGAAGCACCAGCTTTCAAATAAAAAAAGAATCATCGAAATCAGTTCACCCAGAAGGTTATGAGGTAACATACATAAAAAAACACAGTCGACTTCCTTCTCCTGTTTGAAGTCGTTAGAAAAATGACGTTGCTCAAAGATAGCGTAATAAAGTATATACTTTATTACGCTATCTTACGGATGTACAAGTATATACCTGTGATTTAATTTTTTTTGAGGCTTCTACTGAGTTTATCGATATATTATATTGTTGATAATTTTTTATTTTTGGATATGAACATAGTAATGACTCTAAGTTATTTTTACCATTTTTTTAAAAAATCGTCTGGCCTGACCTACTATACTCTTTGGCTTGACCATAGTTCTAACTAAATATGTCCAATAAAATGTCAAGGTCTGAGAGGTTAAGAGGCGGGACTTCCATAGTAAAAATAAATAAATGAAATTACGCCAAGCTACTGTACCAACATCAAGATATAACATTTACTTTTGAGAAACAGTGCTGACAACATTGACGAATTACAATAGTGCTGTAAATGTCTATCCTCGAATAATTTTATCGATATATTGTTTATCGATATTTTTACATAAGAAAAGTTAGATGTCTATACTGAATTACTTATGAGAAATAAATTTTTTTACGTGTGGATTGAGTAAAAATGCCGATGAGGATATGAAATCAATGTGTTTTACACACAGGAATTAGTAATTATAATATCTCTACAATTAGGTACAAAAATATGTATAAAGAAATTATAAAATAAAAAACGCACTTTTATACTAGTAATTAATTAAATAAAAAATAAATGACGACTCTGTAGCGCTGTGGCTAAGCGTTTGGTTGCGGCATTGTAGGACCGAGGCTTCCTTCCCGCACTGAACAATTGTTGCTATGCTGTAAAATAAATAGTCTGCGTCTGAATGCTTGTTTTCGTTTTTTAAAGGGTAAAAATATTGGATATTTACTGATTGGATTAAATTGCTTTTATGTGTTATAAATGCTATGTACAAAGTACAAATCGCTAGGCTTCTTCACAGAGATACCTATGTACATACTATTCGCAGATATCGTTTACTAATTGTCGCGTTCAAAATGAGTGCTCATTATAGCTAATGTTTGTAGATGAAAAAAAATATTTATAACCAGGTATATAGGTTATAAGGTGAACGGTCCTTAATATGATTCTCAAGATAAGGTGACTATCTGCTTAGGTGCCTTGAGATATCATTGCCAAAAGTCAGCTGTCTGCTGGCTCAAGTTGCCGTCAAAATTTCCCAAGGGCTGCACAATGTGACGCATCAACATATTGTGAAGCAATGTACTATGAAGGATAATTATACATTGTAACTTCAGGCTCAGAAGGGCTAGAACCCAGAGCCTTAAACCCAGTTATTAAAAAAATCTGAATTCTGATCCAGCGTTACCACTTTAGTGATTTTGTCACTAGATTTAGTGAATTTTTGGAGATAGATAGTGATATTCTGAAAAAAATAATCACTAAAAAATTATTTGATGACTTTTAGTGATATTTATCAAATCTTTACAAAATACATATTAGCAACCACAGACTAATATGATACTTAGCAAACCTCTTTACCTCCCAAAAAAGGTAAATTCCCCAGTTTATGTCAAAATAGCACTATCCTTTTCTCACATTACAAACACGTAAAGACATCTTTGTTTGGTTATGCTAAGCCTTCCTTGGACTTTTCTCGTCTAATAATGAGGACCTAATACGTATGTAAAGTTTGGTTCAGTAATTGCTAAATACTGAACGGTTAGGTAAAAAACTTAATTGGAATCGGGGTAGATGCCTCTGTAATGACTGGAATCAACAATGGCGTATGCGTACCTAATTAAATTCTAGTCAGATGTGTTTGCCACTCATGCACTCATTCACACTGTTTCACACGTGTCAGAGCAAACGTTACCGCGAAATATAGTTTCTCATTAGAGAAACTTATAATTAGTTTTCACATTCACCCAAGCGCTGTGATGAGTACAAAGATGTATATGAGACAGTAAATTGTGGCGAGAATACTTTAAAAATATTGCGCTCTTGTGATACCTACTGGTTGGCTGTCCGTTGAAGGAACTGTGACCAGGAGGCCTTCTCGATTTTATATGTTGTGTTTATTGTAATTATTTCCACAATTAAAATAGTATTTTTATTACATACCATGTGATTTGATTTTAAATAATTTGGTGAATTCTAGGGATTTTTTTAAGTAAAAATATCCCTAAATCTGGTGAAATTTCAGACCATAACTAGTGATAAATTTTTCTGCAAGGTGGCAACACTGATCTGATCTATGATATAGCGTAGTATCCACTAAGTACTAAGTAGTCTGTGCCAAAGAGAATATAATCACTACGTTAGTCTGTGCCTCCGTAGGAGTAAAGATAAAGAGTAATTGTGTTCTGTGCACAAATTATAAAGTTGTATGTACAAGTGAGTCTGTGTCTGTGATTGTCAATCAAAGATTGAGTTCATCACGTGGAATTGTAGGTTTGATACTAATTTTAATTTATAATGGCGAAGTTGAAAGTAAAAAAGAAGAAAGAAGAAGTTCAAAAGGCGAAGGACATATCCACGGTAGATAAAAATATGCTAGTACTTCCTCCAGTTCGTATGTCGGATGACCCAACGCCTAAACAGGTAAGGTTACAGCCTTTAAAGTAAATACCCTATGTCTGGGTACAGATCTTCTCATTCTCTGGTATATATTACCTATACGTTAACCACCCAAACGTCCGGACGACGCGGCGACAATATCCTTGAACCTTCCGGCGCCGCTCGTCGCTTTTTTTATACGGTCCGATCGCGACCAGTTCGACTAAAATCGTTACCACGAAGAAAGTTCTTTACCTATCTCAGAATAAAATTCTCTCACAGAAAGCTAACGAAATGCAAAATTTAATTATGTAATTATATTTTATTAAAATACATAATATATAATACAAAAACATAACGAAAAACCGACACACAAAGGCGAAGTTTTCGCATGTCGACTTCATCACATATAAAAATATCATTACAGACTGGATTCATAAAATTTGTAGATATACGAAAAGAAAGCATCTTGAGGATTATTTTCATATGTAATACTAGTACAAAGGTATGACAAACACATTATTACTTACATTTTAAATGTAGAACTCACAGTACTACCGTCAAAACTTGACATAACACTTGTTTTATTTGTTTTTTTCAATGGTATCTGTTACTTAGCATAGACGTTTTACTAACCCATAGATGCGTTTTTTTAATATAGAGCCATATAGTGTAACATTCAGAAATATTTTTGTAACTTTCCTTAGTTAAAAAGTTGTTTAAAGTGTAGAAGTCAGCGAGGCCGCTCTAGTAGCCCTAACATTCAACCGTAGAGTTTTAGGCAACTATGGTGGTTGCCAGGACTTTTGAGTGGTTATCTTTGCTTTCATTTATGAAGTAGTTGTTAGTAGTCTTCATGATGAAATACTTAAACAATTCCTCAGACATTCAGGTTTGCTACCGATTATTACTTTTACTGCCGAGAGCGTGGTAAATCAGCTTTTAAAATTGCAAATAATTAAATTATTGACCGAATCTGGGTACTCTAAAGCTCTAAACACATTTTTTTAACTTTATTTTATATCTGCTTATTTTAACCAAGTGAATGTTATAGATAAAAAAATGTTAAAGTAGGTCTAATATTTTAGGTAAAATGGATAAATAGGCAGCGAGTCCTGGTGTTTGCTGCTCGTGGAATAAACCATCGCCACCGGCATCTTATGGAAGATATTAAAAGATTAATGCCACACCATAAAACTGAATCCAAAATGGAGAGGAGTAAAAATTTATATGTTGTAAATGAAATAAGTGAAATGAAAAACTGTAACAAGTGTCTCCTGTTCGAAGGGCGCAAAATGAGAGATTTATATCTTTGGATGGCTAATGTACCAAATGGACCAAGTGCAAAATTTTTAGTAGAAAACAGTAAGTGTTGTGTAATATATAATTAATTTAATTATTGTATTTTACACAACATGTTTTTATTTATGTAACTGGTAACACAGTTAATTAATTAAAAAGACTTGGTGGTTAAACTTGTAATATATTAACATAACACTTCAAATTATAAATCTGACTGCAATGTAAGTCTTCTGTACCAGATTTACTATCACTATTCTTTTGTAATTTAATATCTTAAGTGGGGAATAACACTTGCCTGATTCTTTAATGATAAATGTTATAATCATGATGATTAATTATTTAGTGGAATAGTTTTGTTCAAGACTTTCTTAAAAACCTAATATTTTTTGAAAGTATACACTTATCTAATGATTTCATAATTTCAGTTTACACCATGGGGGAACTTAAGATGACAGGAAATTGTTTAAGGGGTTCCAGACCTCTTTTATCTTTCGATCCACAGTTTACAAAGGACCCGCATTACAATTTATTAAAAGAATTACTAATTCAAATATTTGGTGTTCCAAAACATCACCCAAAAAGCCAACCTTTTTTTGATCATGTATATACATTTATGATTCTTGATAACAGAATTTGGTTTAGAAATTACCAAATACTTTCTGAAGATGGTGCTTTGGCTGAAATAGGACCAAGATTTGTATTAAATCCTGTATGTACTTATTTCCTTTGTTTTGCTTTCATAATCTATTTTACTTAACTTTTATGACTTTTATTTCATTTGATAGCAATAATGCTGCAACCAAAATACTAATAATGCTATAATTATGAAATTATTTCCTTTGCTTAAATTAGGTAAAAATATTTTCTGGATCTTTTGGTGGAGCAACATTATGGGAAAATCCAAAATATGTTAGTCCAGCAAAACTCAGACAGGCATTCTCAAAAAAAGCTGGTAATAAATATGAGAGGAGAATAGAAAAGAAGGTAATGAATGAAGCCACAAAACCAGAAACTGGCTACCCAGATATTGAAGGAGCAGAGTTCTTTAAAGGAGATCCAATGGAGAAAGCCCAAGACATTGTTGTGAAAAGTGAGTACAGGAACACTAATGCATTATAATGTGTCACCTATAACTATTACACAAAAATATTTTGTTTATTTTGAAGACAACCGGCAGAAGAGGCCTATAAGAGCTATTTATAACCTAAAATCAAGTCTGAGAGAAAAAATTAAAGAAATAAATATATTAACATTGGCCTCTTAGTATTTACGAAAATTTTATGTATGTTCACAAAAATAAAAATAGTTTTAACAAAAAAAAAAGTACACTGTGTAAACATCAGAAACAAACACAAGCTAGTGATACCAATTTCTCGACTCCACAGTCACAAATTCATACATGGGGCAACATATATAATATTAAAGTACATTCAAACTGCTTAGAGAAAGTGTAATTTACTTAAGGACGGGGTAAATTAAATTTGGTCTTCAGTAATATATTGTAAGATTGATGCTAGTAGTAGCTAATAGCAGTAACTTGAAATACATTTTTTAATTCTTACATTATTATACTTTCATTTATTTTAAATCTGTGTCTTAACTTTTTTCACTTCTTATATTGAATTTACATACTTTAAGTCCCAGGGAAGTATCTATTATCAATTTTGAATATTTTATCAAACAAAACTGTATAAAAAGGGTTATTATAATATAAATGAATACATAGTTGATAACCCTTGAGAATAAGGTGATTGTTTCCAAGCTATTTCTTAAATAAGTTTTGTTGTAGTTTTATGACCTGTGCTTACTTGTATAATTTTAATTAAAAAATAAACACCCCTGGGTTTCCTGCGGGTTCTTCCCAGGCCAGAGGTTGATTCTGAACCAGCAGTTAAAGTAAACAAATGACACTCAATAAGAATTATTTGTAATATATATTTAATAAAAATTATTCTATTCTGTATTTATTACAAAGAATTACAAGAAATTGGCCTGTGTTCACTGAAAGGCTACCTTTTGACCTGGATGAAATATTTTATTCTTTAAAATCTGTGTGTGGGTGTGTGTGTGTGTTTGTTTAATAAATGGTGTGCATGTGTGTAATGAATTAAATTGAGAATAGGACTATGTTATTAATCTCCATTTTATATTGTTTTCAGAGGAAAATAATGAAGATGAACAAATTGCTGATGAAAGTGATACTGAAATTCCAAAAGAAATGAGTAAACCACATTTTACTATGAAATTAACTAAAAACAAACCTGATAAGGCGATAAGGCGTAAACAATTAAAAGCAAAAAGTAAAGCTATATCTGATCAAATTAAAAAAAGAAAACAATTTAAGAAAAAATCTGTGAAATCTTAGATCAATAAAGATAACATTTTTTAAGATTTTTATTTATTTAATCAAAGCACACCTATATTTATAAACCAGTTATATAAGTTTCTTTAATATTTCTGTGTGTTTACAATAAAACATTGGAAGATATTAGTGGTGAGGTAGTATTCACTTTTAAACATGTTTAACATTACACACACACCTTTATTTTTTCATACAAACATTTATGTGAACATGTTACAGCAAGCGTAATACAAACAGTTATTTAAATATAAACTTGAAAAATATATACAGGGTTATTTTGCAATAACCGGTCAAATCTGCAGAGAAGATCCAGAATAAGTAATATAGGCAAATAGTGAAGAAAATTGAATAGAAAAAAATCTTAAACATTATGTTTTAAATTCAAAATGCGTGCCAATGCACTATTTTAACTGGTTTTACTGCGCACGCACACATTCGTAAGGGTCCATCGTTGTTTCCCTTAAATCACATTCAATTTGGGATAATCTATGCAAATAAATAAAATTGAAGTGTCTGTTTGTAATGCCAAAATAATAGCTTTTTACTAAATGCAAATTAAAGTATATACAAACAAAAACAAAACTTTTGTCTGTCCGTTTGTTCCGGCTAATCTCCGAAATGGCCGATTTTGACGGGACTTTCATCGACAGATACTTGATGTTGCAAGGAGTAAATTAGGCTAATTTTATTTTAGAAAAAGAATTAGGATTCCCCGCAAAGTAATTAAAATCCTAAATTACGCGAAGTCGCGGGGAACAGCTAGTTTCAAATAAAAGCTGAAGCCTTTATAATTACATATACTATAGTTTATTATTACTACATTATTTATATATTTAAACTTAATTTTTAAATTCGGCTACTCTGAAAAATAACCCTGTATAAACTCATTTGAAAGAAAGATATTTTCGATTTTAATTTTTTATTGTAATCCATTACAATAAACATAAACATCTAATTATAAAATCAAGATAATATATAGCAAAATCTTATTGCACTATTATAAACAGAATGAAGTAACTGTTGGTATTATTTTATGACAACTCTCCAGTTTATTACACAATTAATACATAAAAAAATATGGGATACACATAAAATTGATATACAAGAGTAAAACATCAGTGTGCACACGAACATTTACATTACAACACTTACGGTCTTATTACTAAACATGATTTATTGATAGTCTCGGAAACAGACTCTAGTTTAAACCTGAGACTAATCACAAATTCCCATTTGTAATAAAACGGTTATGATTTAAAATAGGTATTTAATATTAAAAGATACTATGGACGTTGATTATATGCTTAAGGACGGTAAAATATTATCTAGCAATAAAATATTAGGTCTTTACTTAAGAATAGCAGTTTTGTTGAACAGGCCACTTTGAATAATGGTGTGACTTAGAATTCTTATATTCAAGTAATTTTATATTTTAGGTACATATGCAATTCTTTTTTCAAATTTCTTGACAGTTGTACTTTTGTCAGTTCAAATAATAGGATTTTTTTTTTACTGCTTATAAGCCAATGCTTGACCACAATCCCACCTGGTGGTAAGTGGTGATGCAGCCTTAGATGATAAATCGCACTGTCTTATCGTAACAAAAGCCTATTCACTCTTGCCTTGAAGACGCCTAGATTGTATTCGGACGGAAAGATAGACGCCGGCAAACTATTCCACTCCTTTGCTGTACGCATTACAAAAGACGAAGAAAACCGTTTGGTTCTAATGCGTGGAATATCGACAGCAAAGGGATGAAGACCCGCCGATTGTCTGGTTGTCCGATGATGGAAAGGAGAGGGTGGAATTAAGGCGTGTAATTCCTGCGTAAATTATTCTTATAATAATTTCCTATTTGTACACAATACGTTGCTGTATCGATATTAGTCTAAGTCAGTAGACAGTTGATGTCGACAGTATCTGAAGTTCTTAAGGGGCACGGAAATAATAACTATATCAACATCGAAGCACTTGCTTCGTCTTTTCCACCTATGTATAGTGTACATGCGCAGACATTAAATAAACAAAATACCATCTATTTTACGTATCAAAATCTACATCAAGCTATTATTTAAAATAAAACAGGAGTATAAAATCCACCGGCGCGACGTAGAATGGAGGGAAATTTTGAGTAAAATTGTTACCTGCGATGAGAAGTGGATCGACGACAATATTCTTGTTAGACTTCTACTTTTTTTGAAGATTATTTTTTTATTTGAATTTTCTTTTAAAAGCGGCATTTAGGTAGAATTAAATTTCCTTTAAAGAATTAATCATTAAACTTTTGAAAAAATATAGTAGATACAGGGAGAGTATGGAAATACATAGAAAAATAGAGCTATATCATTTACTGGTTAAATTAAAACAGACAACAGACAGAAGTTTGTGGTTACATTACCACAAACTTCTTAAGGTTCAAGGAAGTAAAATCTAACAAATAAAATTTGTAAATATATGTATTATCGAGGATATAACAAAGAAAATCGCCTTTTTAAGGTCCTCTATACGGTGTGTAGGTACGAAAACGGTACTGCACTCCCCGCAACTGTCATGTGAATCAGTACCAAAGCAGAAAAAAAAATGTCGCCGGGCACTAGTGGTGGGCTTTTTTTTTTCATAAAAATTTATAAAATAGTGTGATTAACTCAGCAATGAAGCCTGTGCCCAGCAGTAGTGGGACGTAAATTGTTTACAACCTATTTTATTTTACTGTTCCTTGGCGGCAGAAATAAGTATGTGGTACCTACCCCAGACGAACTTCTAACGAGGAAAAAGCTTAAACACACAATGCGTCTATAATGCAAGCATTTTCTGCTAATCCACGGGAGTCAGGCCTATCAAGCTTTACATCAATGAACTTACGAACTGTCCTTGGAACTGTCTGTAATGACTAACTGAACTTAATGTGCGGTTGCTAAAAAAAATTCGTATCTAATTAAATGGTTTTGTTTTCAACAAGTATAACTAGCTTCTACATAAAGAGTATTTTTTGGAGTTTCTTTTACGGCGGATCTACACGTTGGCCAACATACTGGCGAATGTGTTGGCTAACAACGATGGCCATCGTGTAGAGCGGGTGTTTAAGCTACGTTGATATGTATTGGAACGATGGCCCACAAGTTGGCGCGAGATCCGTGTGGTGTAGGTTTTTTGCAAAAGATCAAAGGGTTGTGGCAGAGTATTGGCCGTCGCGTCCACACGTTGGGCACACGTTCAGTTTGCTACGAGCTCCCAGTGATCGCACGCACCTTATTTAACCCTTAAAGGCTACTACGGTGTTTTTACACCCGAGTGACTTAATTTTGTACCTGTATCTTTTTTCAGTTTTAACGCAGCGCCTTGAGATTTCGTGTATTCTCGTATATCGACAGTAGCCCTCGAGGACGCGGGGAGAGTGGTTGTGCGCGAGCGCCCGTCCCGAGATACACTAGTGACCCGGTGTTTTTTCACCCATAGTAGTCATAGTGGGTTACAACTTAGGTAATTAACTTTTTTTGTTTTATTTTTAGTACGTGTGTACTAGTGTATAGAATATGATATTCGTGTGTGTATTATTATGTGTATTGTATTTATTATTTTTATTTGATGTGTTATTGTATTTAGATGTATATTATGATATTTTTATCTCAGATTATGCAGCAACTGAGGGAACAAGAAAACTACGGTGTTTTTACACCCGAGTGACTTAATTTTGTACCTGTATCTTTTTTCAGTTTTAACGCAGCGCCTTGAGATTTCGTGTATTCTCGTATATCGACAGTAGCCCTCGAGGACGCGGGGAGAGTGGTTGTGCGCGAGCGCCCGTCCCGAGATACACTAGTGACCCGGTGTTTTTTCACCCATAGTAGTCATAGTGGGTTACAACTTAGGTAATTATTAGTTATTATAGTTTATTTTTAGTACGTGTGTACTAGTGTATAGAATATGATATTCGTGTGTGTATTATTATGTGTATTGTATTTATTATTTTTATTTGATGTGTTATTGTATTTAGATGTATATTATGATATTTTTATCTCAGATTATGCAGCAACTGAGGGAACAAGAAATAGAAGATGCACTGCTGGCATCGGATGAAGAGTCGGCAGAAGAGGAGGACTCTGTAGAAATGGATATTCATGAAGAAGATGCACAAAGTGTCCACGATGACACTACTTCTAATATATCAGAAGCTCAGTTGGAGATGGAAGTTGATGAGTCTCCTTCTCCACTGGATGGAAGACAAGTAAAATTAGGTAATACACATTTTACTTGTATTGGAAACATGTTGTTACCCCAAAAAAAAGTTTTGAAGGGCAAGGAAAAGCGAGGATACCCTACCTACAAATGGAGTACTAAGCCACCGCCTCCTCATCGAACTCCTGGTAGCAATATAGTCCCATATTTACCAGGTCCTGTGGGTGTTGCCAAAGAAGTGACTACAGAACTGGATGCGTTTGAATTGTATTTCAATAAAAAAATTATTGATACTATTCTTGTTCATTCTAACCAGGAAATCGCTAAACAAAAAGCAAATTATGGCCCGCAAACTTCATATACAAAAGATGTTGACATCTCAGAGCTGAAAGCCTTTTTTGGCCTTTTGTATCTGACTGCAGTAAAGAAAGATAACAGAGTATCAACTAATTTTTTGTGGGGCATCTCTGGCAGTGAAATTTACTCAGCCATCATGTCAAAAGAGCGTTACAAATTTCTAACCAATTGTTTACGGTTTGATGACCGTATGACCAGGGACATCAGAAAAAGTACAGATGAATTTGCACATATCCGTGATATTTGGGAACTGTTTATAAAAAATTGCGCTGATCTGTATCGTCCATCCGTAAATTGTACTATTGATGAACAACTTGTGGGTTTCAGAGGACGATGCAAATTTAGAATCTATATTCCTAGCAAACCAGATAAGTATGGTTTGAAACTGGTCCTCATGTGTGATTCTTATGATCGGTACGTGATATCTGGAATGCCCTATCTAGGAAAAGGGACGCCAAATGGAAGCAAAC